AAAAAAACTTCATGTTCTCTTTAAAAAGACAGTCTCTCTCTCTCTCTCTCTCTCTCTCTCTCTCTCTCTCTCTCTCTCTCTCTCTCCCTGAAGTTGCTTCTAAACTGGTCTCCCTGCAGTTTAGCAACCAGATTCATCTTCCCCATGCTGAAGCCCTACATGACTCTCCACTGGACTTGATATTCACTCTAAACTGTCTCTTGGCTTATAAGCCCTACCCTACAGAAGCCACTCTTCCTTCATCTCCTACCATTTCATCTCCTACTACTCAATATGCTTCAACCACCTCATCCCTTCAATCATTTAATGCCAAGCTTGTTCTCTCCTTGGGCTGTTCTCATTGCTGCTCTTACCTTGATCTTGGCATGGCTGCCTTAGACCTTCCTTGACTATCCAATCTACAAGTCCATGAATCCCTCTCTCCCACAGCATCCTATTTTCATTCTGTAGCATTCACTCTACGTTAGCTGTCTTAATGCCTGATATCTTTATCTTTCTTTTTCTGTGCTCTTTGTTCATCATCTGTATCTCCTACACAAATGCACACTCCACGAGAGGCAGCCAACCTTGTCAGCACCGAGGACAGCATTTGGCACAAATTTGTTGGATGGATGAACACCCATTGCTCACAAATCTCCTTGTCCTCTGTTTCCCTTTAGGTCATATATACACTAATGGAAACAAAGATTTCTGAAACCTGAAATTATTTTGTAACAAATAGGCTTCTTCACAGTAATTTTTGTGTTCCCCAATTCCACACAAAAGCCAAAATTTAATACCTCCAAATAGCATTTAAACTCCTGCTCAATTTACCACTAGATGGCACAAGCATTCCAAACCCAATTTCAGAAATTCACAGCAGCACTTACGTCTTTACACTGGTCTAGCTTCTTGATTGCTTCATATTCTTGTGTGATTGTCTGAGGGAAATAGCATTTCCCTTTATCTTCTTCATATTCTGCTTTGTAATTTTTCTGTAACGAGAAAGAACAAAAACAGATGGTGACTGCTACTGCTCCCAGTGTCACTGTGAGGCACGGCCAATTGTCTTCAAACTCACCTCACTGTTTTGTGCTGAAACTTTCATGCAGTGTGATTGATATGGGTCTTCAAAACTGCCTATGTAATGTCCCAGAATATTCTGTACATACTTATCTTTATATTTAGCCTGAAAAAGGAAACATATGTAACTCAAATGGACAGTTATTTGTCAGACAGGAGGAAAGCCTCCCCCCAACCCCAGAGGTGGGCACGGCCTTTCGAACCTCGCTGAAGGTCTTCAGGAGAGTATCAAGTTGGTATTTAGGGGTCTCACAGTAATTCATGCTCTTTGCCTTTGTCTTCTCATAGTTTTCCTTGTACAATCTCTATCAAAGGAAGAAGAAAATCAAACAAAGGGGAAAACTCTGATGGTGTAAAAGCCATTCATTCACATCATTGCTGTGCTTTAACCAAAAGAGAAAATTTTGTATTTTTTCAGCATCAATTTTCCACAAAGCAAAAAAGCAGGATGAGCATGGGAGAGGCTGTCTTGTGTAATCTAGTCTGCTGATAAGGATAAATATGTTTGCTTTACTTCTCCTAACATGTCTCAGCTGGAATAAATCAGAGCACACAAGTACTGCTGTCTAAGCAACTTTTGGTCTTGAAATAATTCTTTCCTCTTGAGTGTGTGAAGGACAATTACTTTTTTAAGAGTTGGAAAAATGAGGTAAAAGGTGTAAGGTGAGCCTTAGATACTTAGGCACAGTCTTTTTTTAATATATATTTTTATTGATTTAAGAGAGAGAAGGGGGAAGGGAGAGAGAAAACCATCAATGATGAGAGACAATCATTGATCGGCTACCCTTGACCAGAATCGAACCTGCAGGCCAATGTTCTATCCACTGAGCCAAACTGGCTAGGAGTAGGCACAGTCTTAAGAAAGTATTTAGTTCAGCACTTGATGAAAACCTCTGTAAGTTACCTTTTATCATTAAGGCCTGATATTTTACTTTATAGCAATAATACATGAAAAGATGGGGTTTCTATTTTATTGTATGTATCATATATTTCTTCATATTCTCTTGTAATTCTCCCATATAGAAATGAAAAAAAACATACTTACTAAAGACAGAACTATGTATAAATGATACAGAATAGGAAGTATTTATTGTTTGTATGAATTAGAAAAGCAATTTTGTAAATAGTTTTATTTTATATATAATAAGTATTCTAAAGGCTTTAAAATAAGATCGGGATAGTTTTCCTTGTACAATCTCTGTCAAAGGAAGAAGAAAATCAAACAAAGGGGAAAACTCTGATGGTGTAAAAGCCATTCATTCACATCATTGCTGTGCTTTAACCGAAAGAGAAAACTTTGTATTTTTTCAGCATCAATTTTCCACAAAGAAAAAAAGCATGATGAGCATGGGAGAGGCTCATGTCTTGTGTAATCTAGTCTGCTGATAAGGATAAGTATGTTTGCTTTACTTCTCCTAACATTTCTCAGCTGGAATAAATCAGAGCACACAAGTACTGCTGTCTAAGCAACTTTTGGTCTTGAAACAATTCTTTCCTCTTGAGTGTGTGAAGGACAATTACTTTTTTAAGAGTTGGAAAAATGAGGTAAAAGGTGTAAGGTGAGCCTTAGATACTTAGGCACAGTCTTTTTTTAATATATATTTTTATTGATTTAAGAGAGAGAAGGGGGAAGGGAGAGAGAGAACCATCAATGATGAGAGACAATCATTGATTGGCTACCCTTGACCAGAATCGAACCTGCAGGCCAATGCTCTATCCACTGAGCCAAACTGGCTAGGAGTAGGCACAGTCTTAAGAAAGTATTTAGTTCAGCACTTGATGAAAACCTCTGTAAGTTACCTTTTATCATTAAGGCCTGATATTTTACTTTATAGCAATAATACATGAAAAGATGGGGTTTCTATTTTATTGTATGTATCATATATTTCTTCATATTCTCTTGTAATTCTCCCATATAGAAATGAAAAAAAACATACTTACTAAAGACAGAACTATGTATAAATGATACAGAATAGGAAGTATTTATTGTTTGTATGAATTAGAAAAGCAATTTTGTAAATAGTTTTATTTTATATATAATAAGTATTCTAAAGGCTTTAAAATAAGATCGGGAAAAAATAAAATAAGATCAGTATTTTGTAAAATTCTTAAAATAATTTGCTTTTGAAGTTATGCTTCATCTAGTTATTCCTACTTTGTCTTTAGCCTGATTTCTCACTTTTCGCCTTTTATTTATTTACTTGTCCTTATCCTGAGGATATGTTTATTGATATTTAGAGAGAGGAAGGGAGAGGGAGAAAAACATCCACTTGAGGGAAACATCAATCAGTTGTCTCTCTACGTGCCCCAACCAGAGATCGAACCCACAACCTCTGGTGTATGGACGATGCTCCAACCAACTGAGTCACCCGGCCAAGGCTGCCTTTTATTTTTCTCCATGTATTTTTGTAAAGTGCCTTTCGTCAGGTCATGGCATGGAATGAATACATGTTCATACATCCTGAGATACTAAGCCCATTTCTAGGAAAAGCCATACAGAAAATGATACTGCTGGTAAAAATTTCCCCCTAATAAAACAGAAGGCAGTAAGGAGATGATGGGGGAACCTTTACAGTATTCACTGATGTCTCCAAGTACAGAGACACTATAAAAATGAGGAAGTTAATCATCCTCTACCACGGGGCTTTCATGTTTGACTTGTCATCCTGAATCTGAGATTTTACTTAGACTAACGTCATAGCCAAGGTTACATTAAACAGCAAGTGCGGCCACAGCTGAAAATCAGAGGGATTGACACAAGCACTCACATCACTCTGCATTTTGGCCGTCTTCAGAGAGTGCAGCATCTTGGGGTCGTCATTAATGCTGAGGGCTCCGATCATTTTGCCCCTGTTTTTCTCATAGTCTTTCTTGTACATCACCTGCAAAGACAGCACACATGCAGCTCCCACTCATCAGGGAACAGCACCGAGTCCCCCAGCCCAGGTCCCAGGCCATGCTCACCTCACTAGCATTCTTGCTGTTGGCTTTGGCTGCCAGCAGGGGAATGGCATCCACTTTAATGTCAAATTTCTTAGCTTTGGTCTTCTCCCAGTCGTGCTTGTAGACATTCTGGACAGGAAAATTTCAGCAAAGGAATTGACAAAAGGGATCTGCATGTTATCACACTTTGAAGACTAAAAGGTAACCTAATACTTTGTCTTACTATAAAATAAAGAGACTGTTTTCATTGTCCACAAAACCATGCATGTTTTAGATACTTCTCCTCAAGCTGAAGCTTCTAACTACAAGATTAACCTTTTCTACTCTCCATTAGAACATTTTATCAAATTAACTTAATTCTAGTAATCATACTAATATATGATTCCTAACACTGGATATTTTATAGGATGGCACAAATATTTTACAGTTAACTTTTTGTGGTATTAAAGCATCATTTTAATTTGATCTCAAAGTCCTCTGCAAAGGTTATTTTATGAATTATTATAGTACTCTTTGATGCTGGGTAATACTAGTACTTATTTATAGGATTGTTGAAGAAATGGAAACCCCTAAGGGTAATTTGACTTTTCTATAGAATTAAGTCTGGAAATAAAAGATAGCACTGGATACCTGGCCTTATGCCTTTTGAATACCTTATATCTTCCTTAGTGCCAGTACTCTTACATGTAGAAATGAGATCATTCACATGAAACTAGAAACATTATGGGCTTGGGGAATAAATGAAATAATACTCAATCTTTAAAAAATCAAATCCTGGAAGAAAATTAAACATAGTATAATACAAATGAATATACGACTAACCGATCTAACATTAAATTTGCAATTAGACACACATGAGTGGTGGCATTTTGAAGGCTGGTTAAAATCTATTAGGACTGTCTAGGTGTATGAAGCTACTGACATGATTGCAACACACATTTTATAAGGTAAAGTCAACGTTACATTGGCAGAGGCAGAGGAACAGGGTACAAACGTTAACTGTTCATCCCATCTTTAGCATTATATTTATTTAGTGAAACAGTTAAAAAAATAAAAGCACAAGTTGTCAGTATATCGATGGCATAGCGGCAAGGAACTCACATCACTCAGGTTATAAGCGTTGACTCTGTGCTGGATAAAGGCGGGCGTATCTGGAGGTATATGGCACTTGAACTTTTCACTTTCATGTTTCGCTTTGTAATTTAGCTGAGAGAGAGAGAGAGAGAGAGAGAGAGAGAGAGAGAGAGAGAGGATTAGTTCAGAAGAAGAATTGTCCTAAGTACAAAAACTAATTTTCATCAAAGAAAATGTAAAATACATTTTGTTAAATAACACCTGACAAAGTTGTTAAGATTAAAAGAGAAATTCAGAGCGAGGGCAGGCCACCTTGCATTATTGACAACCGTGTGCTGGACGCATGACTGCTGTTGTCACATCTGTTACCCCGGAAGGACCCAAGTGGAAGGAGGTCCCCTTCCCATAGATCACAATTGGCCCTGTGGATTCTGAGAGTGACAGCCCTTTCAAATCTTTTCTTACAAAGACAGGGAGGGGCAAAAATAGGTTTGTTTATGTGGAAAATAATACAATACTTAATAAGTAATATTTTGCATACTCACAACTGTAAGCCTCCTCTTGCCCTACCCTGTATGGTTATGTCCCTGTGCAAACATTATGGTTTGTTGATACTCTAATTAAAGCCTTTCATTTCCGGCCATATGTCTGAGGTTACTTTTATTTTTTAGTTCAACATAAGTTTGGAAATTCATGCTCAAAACTTAGATGACAAAACTTATTACAAACACTCCATTTTCCAAAAACTTATTTGAGGGAGAAAAATCCCAGGTGTTAAATACCTGCTCTGGGCCAGGATGCGGACTATGCACATATCTCCTTTCACTTAATTTTCAAAACAACCACAAGTTTTAAAACGGAAATATGAGGCCTGAGAAGTTAAATGATTTGCCTAGACAGCTGGAATTTGAGTCCAGTTTTGACTTCAGAACTCATGTTCTCTTTCAGGGCATTGAGCTACACCAGTCTCCGTTATAGAACCATTTTACTAGAATTATCCACCCAAGAAGATGTGGAAGATAAAAGACAACTAAATGGAAAAATATTTTAGGCGATTACACAAATATACAACTTACATAGCGTTTTGTGTAACTGTGACAAGTTACTGGCTTTTCTGTATAGAGTTATGCTACATTGTCCCTCATAACTGCATTGCCTGGGTGGGTAGAGGAACTTACATCACTCAGCTGTTTGGCATTGATCTGGGCTTGCAGCTGAACAGGCGAGTCGGTGACTTGAGTGAATTTTGTCTTATCTGGATGGACTTTGTAGGTGTGCTGTGGGCGAGGAAAGAAATAGGGTTTAGCAATATCACCTGTCAAAACCACATTGGCCGATAGGACGAGTGAGCAGAACCCCACTGCCCAAAAGAAAAGATACCTTTCGTTAATAAAACACTTATTTTTTTTCTAATTAGACTGCGGTGTCTGTGAGAGACACTTTTATACTGCACAAGAAACTCTCCCATATCTTCAGATGCCCAATAACTCTTCTTTGGGAAAATCAGCTACAATTAGCTCTTGAAATGTATGGATGATAGGAAAAAAATAGTATATCTACTATAAAATGTAAATTTTCTTTCAATTTTTGGGGTTGCATTTATTTGTAAAAGTGTCAGAATTTTGAACATATCTTGACCAGGAGATGCCATGGAGGGCAGTCACGTCCACAGTTCACACCACAGACTTACATCCTTACACTGATCCAGTTTCTTCATAGTTTCATATTCCTGAGTTATGGTCTGGGGGAAGAAGCCTTTGCCTCTGTCTTCTTCATATTCTGCTCTGTAGTTTTTCTATGAGGAAAAGAAATCGACATAAGGATGCAACCATTGTGCTCATGTTATTTGGAAAGTGAAGCAATTGTCTTAGAACTTACATCACTGTTTTGAGCCGTGACTTTCATGCAGTGTGCATAATATGGGTCTTCATAGCTGCCTACATAATGCCCCAAAATATTCTTTAAGTAGGAATCTTTATATTTCGTCTGAAAAACAAGGCATTTCATTTACTTATTTGTGAAATGATGGGTCTTTTCTTTAACAGGAGTCGTCGTAGGATTGCTTACATCACTGCTGAACTTCTGCAGAACTGCATCCAGCTGAAATTTGGGGGTCTCGCAGTAATTTATGCTCTTTGCCTTTGTCTTTTCATAGTTTTCCTTGTACCGTTTCTGTAAAGAAGAAAAATTAGTTAGATTCCTGTCACTCCCGTGCTGATGATAGCACTCGAATTTTCCAACACTAAACCAAAGAAGAAGAAAAAAAAAATAGCGCCTATTAACTGCCTTAAAAACTGACAATTAGATGCGGGGGGTGTCATGAGTGATAAGCCTTTTCTATTAGCAATTATTGTGAGGCCTAAGTTTTTAACATCCTTCAAAAAATTAAGAAACCAAGAAGCTGCCTCAGAGCAAGCCCTCAGTTACAGAGATTCTTGCGTATTTCTGAATTGCTGTTCTCTGTCTCCCAACTCACATACCTTTCCCTCACCACAGGGGCCACAGCGAACAGGACTATCTGGGCAACAGCGAATTTTTCATTTTTTTAAGCAAACCTTCATGAGAGACTTTAGTAAATGTTGAGAAATACACACTCTCTCTTCCTCCTCCTACCAAGGAAAAATTGCGTACTGTACCATAAAAATAAAGTATATATAAGAACTCATATCACAAATCAACTAACGCCTCTTCCCCACCGGGATTTCTCTTTCGCTGTGACAGTGACCAAAAGCAATGATCGAAGTGCAGATGCACAACTGAGATGCAAGTCGCTGTCCGTTTTTCCTGTCGGGGTTTGCAATTGTGAATGGTGCTATTTGTTTTTAATATTTTGATATTCCTGCCTGTATCAGCGGAGTGGGTTTAAACCTTGGCTTTTATATGTTTGATAAAGATGTCCTTTATGTAGGAAGCAGGAGATGTGCATTCATTTCCCCACAGAGCTACGTGGACAGATCCTGTCGTAAATGTTTCCCTCCACGTCCTGCGTGGTTCAGGGTTCAATATCTGGAAGAGGAGCCGCACACAAATGAAATAGAAAAGACAAGAGTAAAAATAAAGTATATATAAGAACTCATATCACAAATCAACTAACGCCTCTTCCCCACCGGGATTTCTCTTTCCCTGTGACAATGACCATAAGTAATGATCAGAGTGCAGATGCACAACTGAGACGCAGGTGGCTGTCCGTTTTTCACGTCGGGTTTTGCAACTGTGAATGGTGCAATTAGCTTTTTAATATTTTGATATTCCTGCCTGTATCAGCGGAGTGGGTTTAAACCTTGGCTTTTATATGTTTGATAAAGATGGCCTTTGTGTAGGAAGCAGGAGATGTGTATTCATTTCCCCACAGAGCTACATGGACAGATCCACCTACACTCTCTCCCCTGTCACTCACTCACCCCACTTCTCAATCACATGTGTTCATTTCCACGGTGCTGACAACGCAAGGGACAAAGAAAAGATAACGAACCCACCCAGAGAGCCACATATAATCCTCAAACATTAACTTAATATAACCTAACCATAAGGGAAAAACTCAACTGATCACGTGTTCAGTCTCTTGAAATATATAGTCAAAGTCGACTGGGGCTGCTAATGCCAGGCCCAGTTCTTACTTATCTAATCCATTTTAATCCGAATGGATTAGTAAAGCTCTAGTCATTCCTGTGAAGATTTAGGGAGCGGTCTCCTAAGTCCTGCTGTCTGCAGGTGATGGTTTCTGTGGCCTATTCCTGCCTGTATCAGCGGAGTGGGTTTAAACCTTGGCTTTTATATGTTTGATAAAGATGTCCTTTATGTAGGAAGCAGGAGATGTGCATTCATTTCCCCACAGAGCTACGTGGACAGATCCTGTCGTAAATGTTTCCCTCCACGTCCTGCGTGGTTCAGGGTTCAATATCTGGAAGAGGAGCCGCACACAAATGAAATAGAAAAGACAAGAGATAATTTGGAAATATTGGGGGACCAGGCGGGTAAGTCCAACTCAAGAGGAAGGACTTCCACCCGTGCTCTGACAATGACCATAAGTAATGATCAGAGTGCAGATGCACAACTGAGACGCAGGTGGCTGTCCGTTTTTCACGTCGGGTTTTGCAACTGTGAATGGTGCAATTAGCTTTTTAATATTTTGATATTCCTGCCTGTATCAGCGGAGTGGGTTTAAACCTTGGCTTTTATATGTTTGATAAAGATGGCCTTTGTGTAGGAAGCAGGAGATGTGTATTCATTTCCCCACAGAGCTACATGGACAGATCCACCTACACTCTCTCCCCTGTCACTCACTCACCCCACTTCTCAATCACATGTGTTCATTTCCACGGTGCTGACAACGCAAGGGACAAAGAAAAGATAACGAACCCACCCAGAGAGCCACATATAATCCTCAAACATTAACTTAATATAACCTAACCATAAGGGAAAAACTCAACTGATCACGTGTTCAGTCTCTTGAAATATATAGTCAAAGTCGACTGGGGCTGCTAATGCCAGGCCCAGTTCTTACTTATCTAATCCATTTTAATCTGAGTGGATTAGTAAAGCTCTTAACAATCGCAAGTAGTCATTCCTGTGAAGATTTAGGGAGCGGTCTCCTAAGTCCTGCTGTCTGCAGGTGATGGTTTCTGTGGCCAAGATCTGAGGAGACAATGGCAGAGCTGGGGGAGCAGCTGTACAACTGGGGGCATTTTCCTCCTTCTCCCAGCAGCTGGCCTGAGGAACCCACGGGCAGGGCACAGAGCTGCAACATCTCTCTCTCCCTTGCTCCTCCCCTTTCAAAATCTCCTTCAGCCTCTGTCAAAAAGCTCACAGCACGTCTCCTACAATGGACTCTAGTCAGGGAGGCTCAGGCACCTGCAGCCTAGAAGCAAGTGAGGATTTCCCTGCCCATGAACTTGACCCACAGCCCCGACCCCCACAAATAGATACGTCATGCTCAGAGGCAGCAAGGCCTTCCTGTGGTTAGATAGATCCAGGGGAACTGCTGCACCAGGACCTTAAAGCATTTGCAAGGTTATATTTGCATTTAGTCACAACAGAAAAAGAGAGAGCTTGTCTCTCAGCTAAGGTTAAAACACACACACACACACACTTTTTTATAAGAATATACTTACATCACTTAGCGTATTTCCTGCTGCCATCATCTGCCTCAGCAGTGGGTTCTCTGAAGCAGGAAGTACATTATAATCTGCTTTCCCTTTATCCTTTTCATAGTTTTCTTTGTATTTTACCTGTGGGAGTGAAACAAAGTGATAAACTCTACAGGTTATTTTTGCTCTCCTCTCTATTATGAATATTAAGACATAGTTCCACAAATCAATTTTCTCTCTAGAAAAAATGGCAGCTTGACATTTTATAAACAAAATACTCATAGAAACTCATAATAGGAGCAGAGAAACTGCATACATTTCCAAGATATCTTTTCTTCCCACTCATTGATTCATTCAAAAATCTCCATTATGATATTTTTCAGTATCAATTTACATGCCAGGCTCTGGGACACATACAAGAAAGAATAACACATGGTCCCTGCCCTAAAAGATAGAGGTAAAGAGATACATAAATAATGGGGGAGAGAAAGATACACAAATAATGACAGCACATATCCCAGGTGCCTGCTGCTCCAAAACCCTCATTCAGCTCTTAACGTCCAGCTGCCTATCCACCAACACATTTTTAAAGAAAGAAAGCACCATGAACCTACTCTTTTATGTCTCATCTGTGGCTATGCGTTGAGCGAGCGTGTACTTAATGTACACACAGGAGAGGAGGAAGGGGCTGGGGTTGGGACGAATGGTGGCAACTTCAACCTTTCTCTCTGTCCTTCCCTCTTTGCACCTTTCACTCCAGCTTTAGCAGAGGCTTTACATGACGGCTCACAAGCCCCTGTCAGGAACATGTCCCAAAGAGGAGAAGGAGAAAATGGTCCCAGTTCTGACCGTAATCCCTAGGGCCAGCCATTTGTTCAGCCAGTATAACCGTGGAATATAGACGAGCTCAAAGAATCCCAGATAATCTATCAACATTTAAGAACCCCAGGAAACAAATGCAATCAGCTTGGTATCCAAAGGCAGGAGATGCACAACTGAAAACCAGATGCACTGCCCCCTACAGACCACACAGGGGGCTCACCAGGGATGGAAGACAACCTCTCTCTGTCTCATAGAGTTATGTATTTCTTGGGGGGGGAAAAGTCCCCACTTCACACATTCATTCATTTTCTTCTTTTCTTTTCAGCAAAATACTTTGAAAGAGTTGAGTATATTCCCATTTTTCTATTTCTCTCTTCTCATTCACTCAACTGAATTGCTCTCATTAAATTCACCAGGGACTATACCCTGATAAATCCATCTCAGAAACATGTGATACAGTTGATCCCTGCCTTCTCCCTCCATTTGCTTCCCAAGGAATCACTCTCTGGACTTTGCTCCTACCTCATCTCGCTGACGTTTTCACATGGAACACTCCAGAGTTCAGTCCTTAGACATTTCCCACTCATTCCCTTGATGGCCCCCACGCTATGACATTAAATACTATCCATATGCTGATAACTCCCAACTTTATACAACCTTGCCAGACAGCTGCCCTGAAACTTCGGACTCATGTAATCAACTGTCCACTTGACATTCCACTTGGATGTCTAAAATGCATCTCTTACATGTTTGAAATTGAGCTCACGTCTCTCTTGAAAAACATATCTACACTAATAAAAGAGAAACATGGTAATTGGCATACGACTGCTACCCTTTTCATTGGCTAATCAGTGAGTATATGCAAATTAACTGTCAGCCAAGATGGCGGCCGGCAGCCAGGCACTGAAGCGAGCAGGGAGGCTTGCTTGCTGCAGA